CAGTTGGGGAACCCCTTATCAGCGAACGCCCGGAGAACCACGAGTTTACGAACTCCAGTCGGCCACGCGATCTTCTCTCCGAACACCCTCAGCAGCGCGGCAGTAACGTCGCGGAGGCAACCAGGCCAGAAGCTCTTCCAATCCCGAAGTTGCACATGCTACTCTCGTACGTCTCCCCTGTAGCCCACCTGTACAGTGCGTACTCCACAATCTGGTCCGGCTGCAAAGGCTCCCTGTAGAACGTGACCCGCCGCTGAAGATGAGGCACAAACGCCTTTGCGATCTCCTGGAACACTCGCGGCGACATTCGTAGCTTATCCCAGAAGTAGTCGTCTGTGGCGTCGTCGCATTGCCTGAGGTCTTCCCACGTGCCTCCTGTCCTGCGATTCACCCACCACCGCAGCGCCGCACGAGGAATCACTCTGCAACCCAACGCGTAGCACACGTGAACAACAGCCTCCGACGTCGCCACGTATTCGGCCCCATCGTCCGGACCTTGCGTCAATGTCCTCCATCTACGCGCTCGCAACTGCTCCTTCAGTCGCCCCAGCGCCCTCTCCTGCTGACATCGAAGAACGACCGTGGACACGGCCGCTGCCACGGCCTGCAGCTCACGAGGCATCAACACATCACGTCTACCCTCTCCGCTGCCCTCCATAGCTGCGACGTGGACACGGCCCCGTCGCTCCGCTATCGTCTGTATCGTCCTTCCGCTCCCGACGAAGAAGCCGAAGACGTCCGTCGGAAGGTGGCCCCTTTTCTCTGCTCACAGTCCCGCACACGTAAACGAGGAGCAATGCGCAGTCGGCGTGTGCAAAGGTCCACGACAATGGACGCACCACACGCTGCCCGCGCAGTCGGAACGGCCTCGGGACGGAACCTCCGCCTCGCTGAGCCCCTTCCCGCACCACGCCGTCGTCACGCCGCCAGCCACACGTCGTCGTCGTCGTTGCAGCAGTCATTCGAATTTCGAATTTCAAATGCCCACGCCCTTGGGGTTAAATTTCTGTTCGCGTCGCCCACCGAATGCCGTTTCCCGCCTCGCGTCGCTGGACCACGCCGCCTCCACACGGACAAAAGACGTTGGACCAAGGACGACCGACCCCGCGGCCGCTAATTTGCGTATGGAAACAGCCGTGGGTGAGCCACAAGGAAACATCCTCGGGGGAGGTCCCCAAGGATGAGTGGAACGACGCCGCAAATTTCCCTAAAAAAACACAAGGACATTTCCTTGTGGCTCAAGGAACTCGCAAGGAGCGTCTAACAAGGCCCTCAGTGCAACCAAGCACCTACTCGCAAAACTTGGCGGATGACAAGCAGTGCGACCAGGCCCTATATCCGCAAAATCCTAAAAGATTAGTGTCGAGGGTAGTCACACCCAGCTCATATTTTCCCAAACACCTTATTTGGGGTACCTGTGGAGCCGCGAGGGGAGGAAATTTGTGGTAACCTCTGGAGCTTACCCCAAATTCCTTATTCTACTTCGAAGGCTTAGAATATAATAGAAGTATGTAGTGGAGGTGAATTGAAAGAATTTGGAAGATGATGAAAGATTTGAGAGAAGAATATCACGTACTTAAAAAATAAAAATAAAAAAATCCTTATTTTTTTTTTGAAGTAGGATGTGAAACTGGAAAGAACATCCCGTGAGGGAAAAAGGGTCTGCTCGGTGTGACTRGCTACCTCCGAAGTGTGAGCTGCCTCGACTGTGAAATGGGAGATTTGCTGACACGGTGTGACTGGAGCCACCCCTATATCCCCAAATCGGGCCTCACTATTTTTTAAACCACCAGTACCTCGCTCAGCTATCGGCCGCGGGCCTTCCCGTATGCACGCCGCAGCCTTAGGGGGATCRACCAAGTGAAGGCCCGGTCGTAGCGCTAAGGCCAGGCCCCGGTTCTGTAGGGATGACACTACTACTAAAAAACAATAAAAGAAAGAAGGAAAAAAAAAAA